GAGAGAGGAGTAACCGTAAAGTCAACAACACAATTAGAGCAACCACAGTCAACAGCAACAACAATAAGAGTTGACAAATGATGCCAGCAGCTCGAGCGCTTCTGTTGACACGCATCACGCATACGAACTGTGGGCCAGGCTTGGCTTGGCCTAGGCCAGGCCAGGGCCTCGCTGCACTGCACTAAATGAGTTGGTGGCTATTTATGTGTATGTGTGTGTGTGTGKRYGTGAGGCTTTTCCTTTGAAAAACCTGTTGCGTAGTTTTGCTGCTGACGTCAGCAACAGCATTTAGCTGCAGCTCTCTCTCTCTCTCTCTCACTCTCTCTCTCTTACTCTCTCCCTCCCACTCTCTGTGCGTGTGTTTACATCCTTTTATTGATTTTTCAAGTAAATCATCAAAAGATATTAATTTGACGCTACACTGAGCGAAAAGTTGTGACAGTTGAGCAACTTTTGTTTTTTAACTCTTTAGGCCCTGCATATGACCGATCAATAATGTATTAATAGTTTATTACCTTTTGATATTTATATGCTACACTTAGCAAAAGTTTCGGAGAAGAAAACTTACTAATTATACATGAATCAGTGTTTACTGTAGGTGTGGTTTTATATAGCATTGTCGAAAGACATTTATAGAACTGGAAAAAACCAGATGCGACAGATAAATATTTGAGCAAAGGTATAAATACGGTGACATAAAATAGCATATCAGCTATATATATTGCATATGCTATATATATTGAACTGAAGATAAGCTACATATGTGCTATACAACAGCTTGTCTCTAACGTTATCTAATATATAATATATACTATATATTTTTTAGACCACTTCACAGCTGTTATTTCACAGTGTTATATAAAAGGACGTTATCTTGTTCTTAGATTTTTAAATTTGACTAAAAGTCTCTCAGTGTACAGCAAAGCTAATGCTAAAAAATTGACATTGACCTGACCTGATTTCGATTTTGTATGCTTAACCTGGGCCTGGACCAACAAATATGTATACTATGTATTTCAGATATTTCAATGATTATTTAGAGACAGTTCTTAATCAAATATGATATCGGAATTGAGTGGAATTCTTAAGATATAGGGAAACACTTGAATTGAACTCACCTTTCTCTAGGCTGGCATTGCAGAACTTGAGGGCATCGTCGAGTCGGTTGAGATGCATGCAGCTGGTCGCCTTCTCGATGATCTTCTTGGCCTGCAGCTCGGGACCCCACCACTTCTCCACCAGGTGCCTGATGAGGACATCCGGCATGAACTTCATGGCCGTGGTCACGCCCAGCGCATAGCCGCCGCCCATGCCGGCGACCAGCGCCGAGGCCGAGCTGCTCGAGGCCATTGTTGTGGTGGCTGTGGCTGTGGTGGACGCCACCGTGGTGGTGGTCACTGTGGTGGGTGCCGCCATCGACAGACGCAATCCGAGGCCATGCTGAAAGCTACCTCCACTTGGAGCAGGAGGCAAACCCGTCATGAAACGCAGCGAAGAGCTGGCCGAGTGAGTTGAGCTGATGCTGCTGATGGCGCCGCCACTCGCAGTGGCGCTGGTGCTGGTGGTGCTGGTGAGTGCCACGCCCTGCGGCATGCGCTCGGCGCTGCGCGGAAACTTGATGTGGCAAATGTTGCACTGGGTGATCGTCTCGCAGCACTGGCCACAAAACGTGTGGCCGCAGTTCGTGGTCACCGGACTGCGCAGCAGATCCGAGCAGAGCGGACAGAGCAGTGGATCGTAATCCTCACCCAAGACCGGACTGGGCACACGCAATTCCCGCGTGTCCAGCAGATCCTGTTCCGCCTCCAGGTCCAGGCCCAAACCCAGCGCCGTCCACTGCAGCAGCTCCTGATACTGAGCCTTCAGTCGCGACTCACGTGTGGCCGAGCTGCCCAGCTGCCTGATGTGCGCCGTCAAGGCGCTGGCCAACGAGGACAGCTTGTCCAACGGCACATGGCCGTCCTGCTGTCCACTGGCTATCAGTTCGTAGACATKMAAAGCCTGTGGCAGATTGCCCGATTGCGCAAAGGACTCGCCAATCAAATAGGATAGCTCCAGTGAGCTCGACTTGCCATTGCTGTTGTTGTTATTGTTGTTGCTGTTGTTGTGGAGCAGCACCTGCATAGAGCTGGATAAAGGCTGATGTTGCAGATGTTGCTGCTGCTGCAGCTGTTGTTGTTGCTGCTGCTGCAGCTGCTGCTGTTGATTCTCCTTGCGCATTGCCTTCAGCGCGCGTTTGTTGGACAACGAGGGCTTCATGCAGTAGCCCTGGGAGAGCGGCATCCTGACAGCTGTTGCTGCTGCTATTGTTGTTGTTGTTGTTGCTGCTGCTGCACTGCTGCTCGTAGGTGAGCGTTGTCACGTATTCAACGACGTCGACGTCAACGCGACGTCGCAGTATCTGGCGTTGCTTTTCAACAGTTTTGACTTATTTTTGTTATATTTCTTTTTCTCTTTTGTTTTTGCACAGTTTTATTTTAAAATTAAATATGCGTTTATATTTTCTTTCTTTTTCATGCACTTCACATTGGCTGCTGGTCGATGGCAACGACTTTTGAGCTCTACATATCAGCTCCAAAAATATCACTCAATTAATTTAAATTTTTGTTGTATATATTTATATATGCCATGTACATATATATTAATTTATAATTTTAGTTATATTTATTTTTATTTTTTGTTTGAGAGCGAAGACGCGTGCGTTGCCCTTCGCAGTTTGGCAGTCACTGGAGTTGCTGATTTGTTGCTGCGGCTGCCACTGCTGCTGCTGCTGTTGGTGTTGGTGTTGGGTCAGCGGAAGCGACGACGCGTTCGATTGAGCATCTGAAAACAGAAGACGAGACGAGAAATCAAATCGACGCTGAGTGTGTGAGTGTAGGAATTTTACGTAACATATATAAAATGCCGTTTTGCCTGATTCTGCCTACATCGCCAGCTTTTGATTCTGTTTTATAATTCAAACACACACACACACATGCACAAACATACGCGAAGAGCGCGCAGCCAAAGAGCGCCATCCACACACACTCACACTTGTTCACTCACGCTCTCGCTCTCTGGCATCTAAACTCTTTCTCTTCGATTCAATTTTCGTTTTATTGCCTGCCCATTTCATGACAGCGGCAACAACTACAACAAAAACAACAGCAGCAGAATAAAGAATTGCCGTATCTATTACTCAACCAGTGCACAGTTCATACTAACTGCCATTACTTGCATCTCTCTATTACTTGCGCACTCTCTTGCACTCTCTATCACTCTCTCTTGGCGCAGTGACGTGACATTTGTCGCGTATGCTGTTAATTGACTGGCCTAAAATTCTGAGCTTTGCAGCCCACTTTTTAAGACTTTGGCGCGTTACATAAACGGTCAACGAACTTGCCGCAAAGAGCAGCAGCTGCCTCTGGAACTAGAAACTCATACTTTGTGCATTTGAATGTGTGTGCGTATGATTAATGCTTCTACGATTATTTTCTCTGATATGGTACTTAATTTCAATTGCCTGCGGGCCAATGGGCCAGCCAGTCAGCCAGCGCACATGTTGTTACATAATATTATGAAAATTAACACTGAATCACAAAGCAAACTGACGCGGACGCTGGCGCAAGTAACGAAATCAAAATCAGAAACGTCGACAGACMCACACGCACGCACACCAGCATACGCACGTACACAAAAACAAAGTGGAACGTTCTCGCAGTATGGGGAACAACAACGGCAACAGTGTTAAACGCGCTCTTAGCAGACACACAGCTGCTGCTGTTCTCACGTTCTCTCCCACGCTCTCTTACGCTCTTCAGAACTGTTCTCAGGGCCTAAGAGCGGCTATTTGTGTCTGTGGTGGATGTGTGCGTGTGTTTGTGTTGTGTTTTTCTGCTGCTTCTGTTATGTGCGCACGTTTTTTTCTTGAGAACGTTCAGTATTTGTATCTTGAAGATAAACAATGCCGGCACAACACACCAATACAAACACACACATATATGCGCTATCTGTGAACTGCGCGTCGTGGCCATTGGCAACGCTCGAATGTTTTTGGTTTTGTTATGTAAACAATATAATATTTTTTTACTTTTTTGTGTTATAATTTGTTTACATCTTACACACACACATTTATGTATAATCAGGCGTAGATAAACAGCCAGAGGTACATTTTCAGCACAAAGCGAAATCAAAGTGTGCCAAAAAGAAAATTGCGTGCAAATAAAAATGTTGATTTCTAGTCTCAAACTTTTTTTTTCATCATTTCATTTTTGTATTTTTTCGTGAATCGTATGATTATGTACGCCCAGTTGTTGGCCCAGTTGCTTTAGCCAACAAATATTATTTGTATTCTTTTTTTTTTTTTTTTTTTTTTTTTTTTTTTTTTTTTTTTTTTTTTTTTTTTTTTTTTTTTTTTTTTTTTTTTTTTTTTTTTTTTTTGTTGGTTCTGGTTCTTTTGCATAAATGTTGTTGTTAAGTAATGCTGAAAAACATTGTCTATGCTATATTGGTAGTTAGCCAAGAATCAAGATATAACAAACAACAACAACCATAAAGAAACATTGTATATATTTGTGGCCTGCCACGAAGGTTCTTATACATATTTTTATTTATATCAATTTGATTCCGCTGCGCCAACAATAGAAACAATGAATTTGAATGATTTTCAGATGAGAACAATGCTTCACAAATGTATCAAAATAATAAAGAAGGATTTTCGAAATGAAAATTTGTGAAATATGCTGAGCTGTGCCAGAAGACTTTTCAACTAGATACTGAAATACTTAATGAATGAATAATTGATTGCATAATGAGACTGTCTTCTATTTGCCTTATATTAGTTACAGAAACAAACTACAATCATGTTTCCATATCATTCATGAGAGTTTTACGAATATTAAAATTTGTTATAGTTTCCTATTATTATTCATATTACTCGTCAGACAGAAAGCGTTAACCGGCACTGTTTGTTTGCCCATTGTCTGCATGCAATTCCCATTGGGTTAAAGTTCAGTCTGTTTCACACTCATCTAGCAAGCAGCAACAGCTGTTCGATATGATTTATAGTGCAGACGGTGCTCCAATGAATTCCCATTGCGAAATATCTATTTTTGCTATTATTATCAAAATATATACATATACATATATATTTTCTATATATGCAGCTTTATCTCCACTTACAAACGACCTTCAAATACTTCAGACTGTGCGTCTGGCCATTTAGCAAACACTCAAGGGAAACGCTTCACATATATTTTAGTATATATACTTATGTCGATATACCTATATGTATGCATGTATTAAAACAACTGGCACTTCGTAACATCTATTAGGCCGATACTCAACATGTGTCGCGTTTGCTGTTAGTAAAAGTTAGCGAACAGCTCGCGCCTTTGACTCTTAAGATTAAAGCCTTTTGCGTAAGTTAACAACAAATTATGTATACGACGCGTAATAGGCGCACGTGTATCTAGATGCAATCGCTAGCCTCACCCTCTCTATCTGTCTCTCTGTCACTCTCGCTCTCAGATTGCTTCGCTTTTAGTGTTGCATAACTAAGAGTACTGATAAACATTTCTAAATTAACTGATTGTTGTTGTTGTCGTATGGGCATATGAGCTGATATATGCAAGCATACAGTTATTATATATAGCGAGACTATATATACACATATATATATATATATTATATCATCTGCGTTCTGTCTTATGCAATGTCAATCATGTTTTTGCGATTGCATTTATCGTCGTCGCCTGTTGTCGCCGAGTTGTCAGAGCAATTGGCGACAAAGACTGGAACGGGGACTGGAACGCTAGACTGGAACTGAGAGCCGCGACACAGTAAAAGAGAGAGAGAGAGAGAGAGAGGCAGCTGCATAGACGGCGACGGCAAGCGAGACAAAAACCAATTACAATGACGACGTCAACAGCTTTTGTTAAGTATACCCTGGATTTGAGCGCAGCTTCTAAAAGGGTATTATAATTGAGTTGAACTAAATGACTTTTGATTATATTATATGTAGAAATTGCCTTAGTTATAGGCAACTATAATATAAAGAATTCCTAATTCTAAGTCCCATTATATTATCAATATTCATTAAGGCAATCGCTCCTATTAAAGCAAAACTATTCAGAATAATTCAGAAATGGCCTAACCTATATGCCCTATATGAACAATTATGTAATATAGCTAAATGAAATGAAAATGAATGAATTTGATCCCTGATCAATTTTGCTTTAGAGAAAGATAACAAATAGACAGCTAGACTGACTGAAATTGATTAGACTTTCTCACTATTGCATACAAATATGGCCTTATCAGCGATCAGTATATGAAATATATTGCCAAGACTCAGTTGTAGATGTATATTTTGCATCTGCTACAATTTAATATTTCCAGGGTATTTACTAGTCCTGTTCTACGCATATGAACTATGCCATTTGCTGGCACTTATTATTACTTAAGTCAATTGTTGCGGGTGGCGACAAGAAATTTGCCCTGAAATGCAATGTCAAATGCAAATGCGGCGAAAGGTTTACCCAAACCCCGCCCACACACACTCAGCTAACTCCACAAGTGTGTATGTGCGTGTGCGTGTGTGTGTGAAAGGCATAAAACTTTTGGGCCTAATGAAATTACATAATTGCTGTGATTGCCATTCAATAAACACGAACTGCGAGCTGCGAGCTGCGCACAATTCAAAGTGTTATGAAATCGCCTTCGAACTTATTATACAATTTTCATAAGCATTTTTCCTAGCTGCGTTGCTGTTGTTGTTGCTATTGCTGCTGCTGCTGCTGCTTGTTGCTGTGTGTGATTTCTGCTTTGATATTTGTTTTATTGGCTTTTCATTTGGTTTTTTACGGCGCGTTTTATGGCCACAATAAACGCCATCGCACAGCAGACGAAAAGAGACAGAAGAGGGCGAAAATAATTATTGACTTGGGGGGAAAAACATTCTATTTTCCATTTCTTTTT